TAGCTCAAGCTAGGCGATGCACAAGCTGTGTGTAACCCGTTAGACTGGGTGTACTGAAACGCCTGTCCTTGGCTCCCTGTTGGAAGGTGTTTCCGGCATTCTCTGCACCGACGACGGTTGGCTTGTTAATCATTGTGCAGATGCTAATGATTAATCTATTTCCAGAACCCTGGGTACTAGGTGAACGTTCAGAGGGCACTGCAGCTTTTGTTTGTTTGTCTTTTCTGAAATGTTATTTGGGCACGTGGCCCACAAATTGAGCCAAAGAACTTCTAAATACGAAATGCAAATCTAAAATGCCTACAGACTCTGGCGAGGCAGTGAATTGGGTGGAAAAGAGAAAGACCTGTGTCTGGTGGCCGTCCATCGCTGCTCCTTTGACGAGACTTCCACCTTCTGTCATTAAACTGCTCTCCAAAGGCGCAGGAGACTTCCTCTAGCCAAGGGGTCCCAGAGAGGCTCCTGTAGGGTGGTGGAATGACACAGAGCAGAGCCAGCAGAGGGACTCCTGCAGTGCCCCGAGGGAGGGTGAGTGGCAGGAGGACCAGGGGAAGGACCTACCAACGCAGCTGTCCACCCGGATGTGTCATGGCAAGTGAGTTCTGGGTGGAGAGCTCCAGACCCTCCCAGCTGTTCTTTCCCTGAGGGATCGGATCCTACAGCATGTAGAACTGTTTTCACAGTCGGGCAGCATCAAGCCCCCTGCTACTTAATATATAATTTTTAGGGGCTGGGGATGTGGCTCAAGCAGTAGCGTGCTCGCCTGGCATGCGTGCGGCCTGGGTTCGATCCTCAGCACCACATACCAACAAAGATGTTGTGTCTGCTGAGAACTAAAAAATAAATATTAAAAATTCTCTCTCTCACTCTCTCTCCTCTCTCACTCTCTCTTAAAAAAATATATTTTTTTAAAATATTTTTTTAGTTGTAGATGGACACAATATCCTCACTTATTTTTATGTGGTGCTGAGGATCGAACCAGTGCCATCATGTGCAAGGCAAGCGCTCTACCGCTAAGCCACAACCCCAGCCCCTTAATATGTAATTTTTGAAAATATGTACAAAGTGCTTCTAGGTCTGGGAAAACTCCATTTTATAAGGTGGAGTGAAGATGGGTTGAACACGGTGGGTGCCGTGAGGGAGCCAAGGGGAAGTGACTTCTCCTTAGTCTTTTTTTAAAAAATATTTTTGTTTTAAGTGGACACCATAACTTTTATCTATGTGGGGCTGAGTATCAAACCCAGTGCCTCACATGTGCGAGGCAGGTGCTGTACCACTGAGCCATAGCCTCAGCTCCCCTTAGTCTTTTATTTATTTATTTGTTTGGTTGGTTGGTTGTAGATGGACACAATACCTTTATTTTGTTCATTTATTTATTTTTATGTGGTGCTGAGGATTGAACCCAGTGCCTCACACGTGCGAGGCAGGTGCTGTACCACTGAGCCATAGCCTCAGCTCCCCTTAGTCTTTTATTTATTTATTTGTTTGGTTGGTTGGTTGTAGATGGACACAATACCTTTATTTTGTTCATTTATTTATTTTTATGTGGTGCTGAGGATCAGACTCAGGGCCTCACACATGCAAGGCAAGTGCTCCATCTCTGAGCCACAACCCCAGCCCCACTTAGTCTTTTTTTATTCCACCCAAGTGATGAAATTTCTCTCTTTTTGAGATGGGGTCTCACTAAGTTACCCAGGCTGGACTTGAACTCATGATCCTTCTGTCTCAGCCTCCTACATAGCTGAGACTACAGGTCATAGCTTCTAAGGGAGTCAGATGAATAATTCGCTCCTCTCCTTTGCTGTGCACTTTATTGAGCATGTACTATGTGCTAGTTTCCATGCAAAGCCCAGGTCCCTGGTAAGCCAGGCTGTCAGACCCTCAGCACAGAGGGCTAACCCAGAGCATTCTGCTCTCCCCCTTGCTCTTCAAGGGTCTGAACACTGGCATAGGACCTGCTCTTCAGGGTTATACTTATTTTTTTCCCCTCTGTGGGCTTTTTTCAGCCCCTGTGACGATTTCAGGGCTGATCCATTCTGCAAATCATGGATCACTTTTCCAACAGGGAATCCCTTTGACTTTGTTCTAAATGTCCCTGTATTTTTGCTGTCTGGGGGTCTCAGGCCGTGGCAGCCATACAGACCCCAGGTGAGTGCCCATAGACCCTCACAGGGCTGCTAATGGAGCAGCCGTTCACAAGTGCTTGTTCTGTGCTAGGTGGTGTGATTAGCTGCCAGTCGCCTGCCACACAGTTGGGGCCCAACTGGAAGTACATGTGTAAAGAGGAGATGGATGCTTTTTTTGCTTTCACCAGGCCCATGGGCTTTTCACAGTCCCCTGGAAGGGACAGGCACAAGAGGGGACACCTCCACATACACCTAGGGCTGCACCAGCATAGGCCCCAGGCCTGGGGTCCTCAGAGGATAAGGGGCTGAGCCGTGGCTTCACCCAAGTGCTCGTCACACCATCAACAGCTCATTTTAGCCCATTCTTCATGCATCTGAGCCCTGGCCGTGTGCACAGCTCCTGGGGTTAAAGGCTGTCAAGGACCTTAGACCCCCGGCCTCCAMCTGCACATGCATCTGTTGCTCTTGCGCTTCAGGCGTCCTGTGGTTTGCTCATCCTCTGCTCCACGGTTCCCAAAGGAATGTTCCATGGCAGAATCTTACCACTCTGTTCCCCAGAGCACTTCTGGAGGCATGGGGCACCGTCATGGGCTGGCCTGGTTTGCTGTTCTCAAGGGACCAGGCCATGGCAGCATTCTGTGGGCACTGATGGAAGTGCAGGGGACTGTCCCCTGGAATAAGCCAGGGTGAGCTGGAGCCACAGGGCATACAGGTTGGGGTGTACCTTGGGACCTTTGCTATCTGAGGGACTCGTTCAGAGAAAAGCACTCTCATCTGCTCTGGTTGGAGGAAGAGGGCCACTGTGTTCAGTGACCTGTGCGACTGCCCGGCCCTCCTGCCACAGCTCAGGCCAAGTCCTCTGCCCCCGTGTCTGTCCAGCTCATTGACAGCAGCAACAGCATTTCCCTGAGTAGACCTGCTATGTTTTCAAAGCACTGAGAGGTCAGATCATAAGATTCAGAACCTCCCGACTCCCCAGAGGCAGACAGAGGAAGCAGCCTGTGTTGCTGGAATGTCCCTGCCAGGCCGAGGAATGTTCTGGGGGAGGGACAGCAACTCAGTGAGCATCTGCAGCTGCCCAGGAGAGCCTCTGGTAGGGTGGAAACAGGGGCGCTCCGAGCCACGCAAACAGACTCCGCCAGCTGAAGTTCATGAAGGATGAACTTTATGGCCCATGTATTGAGTCAACGACTGTGGCTTTTGAACTTGTTTTGTTCATGGTGAAAATAGGCCAAGTAGTGCTTGCTACCCATTATCTTGCCTACTGCCTGAAGGAGTCTTCCATCAGATCCAAGCACAACCAAATATCCCGGAAGAGTCGAGGTGCAGCTCGGTGCAAGGGAGTGCGTCACGTGCTGGGCCCTGGGCCTGACCCGCACCACCTCCCAAAGGATGATAGAAAACAGGTGCAGATCCTCAGCATGGTTTTTGTGGTCAATAAGGAAGCTTTCTAAATCCTGCAAAAACGCTGATGATTCCCTGTTATTTTTCCCTTTGGGTTACTATCACCTAGGATGATTTGTCAGATTTCCAAGCATGAGAGGTGAATTTCACAAAAATGTGTGACTTGTCCCGAGGGAGCCACAGCTTCCCAGCATCTTTACACTTAAAGTCGTTGTTTGTGTGAGCAAACCTGCAGTGCAGAAGTGCAGCTCCCGAGTGCACTCCTGGACCCACGCTAGCTCTGCAAAGTGCTCGTCACTCGGTCAGAAGACCCGGGCGCATTGTGGTCTCAGGTGACACATTGCCTTGTGTTGAGCCACGGCCCGTGGCAGTTCGCACCTCCTGGTACCCTTTCTGTGAGGCGAGCGGTRGGCTTCCTGTGACCGTTTGCAGATGGAAAACTGTTCCAGAAGCTAAATGTCTCCCAGTCAGCCAAGGTGGATGGTGGGTGAGCCGGCTGGGCTCAGGGAGGTGGACAGAAAGCAAAGGAGGCAGTGGTGGGGTGACAGTGATGACCAGTGACCCCCCACGAGGGCAGAGGGTGGGGCCCTAGTGCCGAATCAGCAGGGACAGCTTCCACGGCTGGAGTGGGTGCCCAGGACTGGGCCTGGGTCTGGAGGCGCCAGAAAGTGGGCTAAGAAGCCGGGGTGAGAGCTGGTACAGACTGGCACAGGAGGACCGCCGTTCTGTCATGCGTGCACACGCGCAGTTTTCTGGCACTGGGACTGCCCACTTAGATTTTGACGTCTCCCCAAGGTATGCGTTCCCCTGCCATCATTTTTCAGGACTCCCTGCATGAGTGACCTTCGTGGGGACGTGGAGAACATTCAGGAGCAAATGTGATGTGCCACTCAGGGACTGAGTGCTCAGCCCTCCCCGTCCCTCTCTGCCTGAGCCCGAGGCCTCCTCGTTCTCCCTGGAATGTGCCAGCACGCCCTAGCACTTGGTGTTCTTTTTGCTGGAACATTCTCTCCCAAGAGGCCTGCACAGCTGGCTCCTTCGCCCCAGTCCCCATCGTGCCCTGGTCAGCCTGGCTTTCCTGCCTCCCCTGTGTTCCACCCCTCGTCCACTCTCCTCTGTTGCCACATGCCCACTGGGAAGCCCATCTCACATTGATTTGCCTCCCATCTGGGTCCCCCAGAAGGGGTGCTCCAGGAGCGGGGACTTTGTCTCTGTCCACCTGTGTCCCCAGCCCCTGGCACGCTGTGGTGTGTGGGTGGGAAGCGGTGACTGGCTCTGGCTGCACAGGTGGGCCCCTCGTACCTTGGTTGTTTGAAGATCCTTTCTTCATGTGCTTCTCAAAGATGCCAACAGAGTTACTGTTCAGATTCTGACTTCAGGTTCGTCCTCAGCGATGAACAATGTTTTCACCCGAAAACACAACCCAGATCTCTTCTGTTAGTTTCACTGATGACTTCCTTCCTCCCACAGGTCAGAGCTGAGGGGTGACCCGCTCCAGTCAACATGGTGGACACAGAGAGCCCCATCTGCCCCCTCTCTCCGCTCGAGGCTGATGGCCTGGAAAGCCCGTTATCTGAAGAATTCCTACAAGAGATGGGAAACATCCAAGACATATCTCAGTCCATCGGTGAGGACAGTTCTGGAAGCTTCAGTTTCACAGAATACCAGTATTTAGGAAGCKGTCCTGGGTCAGATGGATCCGTCATCACGGGTAAGTGTGCTGCGTCCTGGAAAGCTTGATCTAGAAATCATTTCTGTAGAGAAAAGCTGTTCTCTTTCACGGGAAGTCACGCCTCTTTGAAAAGAAACCTTGTATGATAACGCATCACAGCCATGGGGACCAGGAAGAATTGGGGCACGTCTTGCTTGTCATATATGCCTTCTTGTAAATGCTGTGCACAGATCTAGCAAGGCTGGGAATTCAGTGAAGACAGTTGGCGGCACCTTAAGTGCCATGTGTATTTCTTTAAAGCAGAGATTCCTATTGTAATAAAGGTAACTCCTTTTTTTAAATATGGAAATCAATATTAACCATATCTCTACTTTCTATGTCACACTGAGAACCACAACAGGGGTCAGGCGACACAGGTCGATGGGGGTAAGACGGGAGTCTGCTCAGGTAACCTGCAGCATCACTGGGAAGGGAGAAACCATGGGGCCATTAGTCTTGACAGGCAGCGTCTGCGTCACCCCAGGCCAGCGAGGCCACTGGCATCCTCAGTTGGAGGAAAGCCCCATCAGGGGTGGAACTGACCGCACACAGCAGCTAGGGATGAAGGGGAGTGGCTTTGGACTAGTCGGAGCAGCTCACGGAGGTAAACAGGGTGTGGGCTTCCACCCCGAGTATGAGATGTCGGGCTCCCGAGGGATCACAGAGAGGTCCGCCCCGGCAGCCTTTGGTCTCTGCTCTTTCACCTTCGGGGACCCCTGGTGTTGGCTCCTGGCTCTGAGTGTTTCCCCGTCTTCTCTCATTTCTCCGGCTCCTGGAGGGTCTTCAGTGGGGCGAGTCAGAGAGTACTGGACTTGGCTGGAAGAAACATCCTTTGTGGAGGGGAGCAGGGAACTGCAGAGTCCTGAAGCCCCACAAGCCCCTGGAACGCTCAGTCCTGGTGAGCGGCTGTTCACCAGGTGTGCACTGAAGCAGCATTTGTGATAGCGGGGACCAAGTGGCTGAACGCACAGGGAAGGACACAGATGCCCTGGCCCCTGCCCCCCTGGGAGAGAAGCCCATCCTGCAGTGCTCCTTTGTTCAGAAGCACTCTGGAGGTTGTTCTGAGATAAGAGTGGTGTGAGTGGGGAGGTGTCCACTTATACAACCTCTGAAGGTTCTTTCCCAGAGGGGCCAGGAGGAGCATTTGGGGCCCCGCCCTCCCCAGGCAGATCCAGCCCAAAGGTGGGCCTCTCCCTCCAGCAGGAGGAACCAGAATTCTGTCCTTCCATTTACTTGAATTCAAAGTTCCTTTTCTAAAACCAGTGCCTCTAGGCTGCCATTAAGAGCTGCCACCTAAAGTCCATTCCCAACTCATCTGAAAGCTGTGACACCAGCGGCGTGACATTCCTCGTGAGCCAGGAGCCTGGTGGTTGGCACTGAAAGTCAGGTCTGACCCAGTCCCTTGGCTGATGGTGCTTCCCATGTAAGGAAGTTGAGGGCAAGGGCTGCCGAGGAGAGAATTCCAGATCTGTTTTTAACCAATTCCAAGGAACGGGATGACACATTTAAAAATCTATATGTATAAGAGGGCTGGGGTTGTGGCTCAGTGGTAGAGCGCGCGCCTCACATGTGCGAGACCCTGGGTTCGATCCCCAACACCACATAAAAACACATAAGTGAAATAAAGGTATTATGTCCAGCTACAACTAGAAAGTAAATATTTTTTTAAAAAATTAAGAAAAGGAACTTAGAAATAATCATCACTGGAGTGCTGGACACAGGCCCCTGGTTTCTGGACTGGCCTTTAGGGCAGTGGCTGTGTGAGACCCACTCTATCTCCCTCCCCAACAGTTCTAAAGATGATTTCTTATTCTTGAATTAGATTTTAATCTTTGTATCTGACCTGATCCTTTGGACAGTATTTCTGCAGTTATGTAAGCTGCTCATGTAGAAGGACTGACTGTATGTAAAATGTATTCACTTCATACTTTACTTAAAAGACCAGGTGGGGAGCTGGCTCACTCAGCCGGTATCTTTTTCCTCCTCTTCTCCCCAGCTTTACTGACATATAATTGACTATGACAAACTGCATACATTTAAAGTTTAAAATTTGTTGTGTGCATGCACACACACACGCACACGCACGCACACACACACACACACACACACACACCTCTGTGAAATCATCATCGCAATCAAAGTAGTGACGTTCTCCGTCACGCCAAAGTTTACTGGCCCTCCTTCGTAGCTCCTCTTCCCCCACTCCCTGCCTCCCTCCAGTGCGGAGCAACCATGGATCCCTCACTGGCGGTTAGTCTGTCTTTTCTGGAATTTTATATAAATGGGATCTTACTTTGCAGTTGGACTTCTCAGGCTCAGCAGAATTCCTTTGAGATCCGTCTGCACTGTGCACGTGTCAGAACTTTGTTCTTTTTTACCTGTTGCATGGATCGACCACAACTTATTAGTCCAAGCACCTACTGGTGAAGGTAGGGTCATGTCCAGTTTGTGGCCATTGCAGGTGGAGCTGCTGTGAACGTATGAGGCTCTGTGTGGACGTCTGCTTTCATTTCTCTTTGGTAAATACCTAGGAACAGAATAGCTGCGACTTGTGTTTGTGTAACTTTTTAAGAAACTGCCAAGGCATTTTCTGAAGTGCTCTGCCGTTCCTCCACACCTCGTGGATGGTAGATGGTGTCAGCCTTTAAAATTTGAGCCACCCTGAGAGCTGTGAAATGGCATCTCATTGTGGTACTTTCAGTGTGCATTTCTCAGATGACAAATGATACTAACATCTTTTCCTGTGCTTCTTTGTTCTGTTTTATTTGGTGAAGTTCCTGTTCAAATATTTTCCCCATTTTTTAGTTGGTTGTTTCTTTTCTCACTATTGACTATTGGGAGTTTATTTGCTTTATCAGATATGGGATTTACAAATGTCCCCCAGTTTGTTATGTGTCTTTTCTTTCTGTTAGCTGCACCTTTCAAAAGGCAGTACTAAGCCAGGCACAGTGGCACACGCCTGTAATCCCAGGAGGCTGAGGCAGGAGGATTTCGAGTTCAAAGCTTCAGCAAAAGCGAGGTACTAAGCTACTCAGTGAGACCCCATCTCTAAATAAAATACAAAATAGGGCTGGGCATGTGGCTCAGTGGTCAAGTGTCCCTGAGTTTAATCCCCAGTACCTTAAAGAAAAAAAATCAGTGCTGATTTCTGTTGAAGTCCAATTTATTTTCTTTCTGATTTTATTTCCAGTATTTTCTTTCATGGGTCGTGTGTTTTGTGTCACAGCTAAGAAATATGCCTGACCCACAGTCACATCTTAAGGCTGAGATCCATTGACTTAGCTTTTGCCTGTGGATCAAACTATCTTTCCTTCCTCCCTCCATCCCTCCTTCCTTCCTTTCCTCCTTCCTTCCTTCCCTCCTTCCTTCCTTTCCTCCTTCCTTCCTTCCCTCCTTCCTTCCTTCCCTCCTTCCTCCTTCCCTCCCTCCTTCCTTCCTT